AAACGCGATGAAACATTCATATGTACCTTTTTAAAGAATCAAAAACTGGCAAAGGAAGAAAGAAAATTATCATTGTGGGCTCCATGCATACAAATAACTCTGGAGAAAATGCACTAACGGCTCAGTTGGAAATCCTGGACCGAGAGGAGGATATCTTGGAATCACAACGGATCAGGAGGGAGTCATTAACAAGACTAATCAACTTGACGATAAGGTCAACCTATTTTACATTCAACAGTACCATCTATGAACAAATATTTGGACTTCCTATGGGATCACCGCTCTCACCACTTTTGGCAAATGGATACATGAACAGAATAGAAGATAACTTCAAGATGGCACCGCTAGAACCGGCAGTGCTCATGCGGTACCTCAGCGATTACTTTGCACTTTGGTCACTTGAAAGAGAAGAAGTGGAAGATTTTCTGAAGTTTGTAAACCAGATTGATGAAAAAATTCAATTCACAATGGAAGTAGAGGAAGGTGAGCGGTTACTGTTTCTGGACGTTGAAGTGATTCGCTCTAATGGGACGCTCGAGAAGAAATCGTTCGTAAAGAAGTCTTCTGTCTTCTACTCAATGCCCAGTCCTATCACAAGTACAGGCTAAAGATGGGAATATTGAGGAGCATGATCATCAGAAGGTTAAGATTAACGGATGGCGAATTCTGGGATGACGAATGAAACAAATTGACTCAGATATGCGTCAGCAACGGCTGCTCAAGGGAAGTATTTCAAAGAAACAAACAGGACGCGAAAAGCCGACGGCAGAACGGGAACTACGAAAGAAGAGTAAGGTCACAAAAGTGGATATGTCTACCAGCCTGCGAACAAACTCACAAAGTACGGCCAATATTAAGAGAAAGGAATATTGCGGTGACCACGAGCGAAAAGATGACATTCGTTACAATTGAACCCAAGAAACATGAGGGTGGACAAATTGGAATGCTCGGAAGCATACTGCATAGTATGAGGCGCCTGTGAACAGAAATATATTGGCGAAAAGGGGATAAAAACCAGCATACCAATCAGGGAACATCAAAGGCTCTACTAGAAAATGGATACCGAAAGATCAGAACT